CCAAATCCCTCCTGCAGGGAATTCCCTGGGATTATCCCAGAAATCCCCAATCCCTCCTGCAGGGAATCCCATGGGATTATCCCAGAAATCCCTGGGAAGGGGCCTGGATAACCCCCAGACCCTCCTGCAGGGAATTCCATGGGATCATCCCAAAAATCCCTGGGAAGGGGCCTGGATAACCCCAAATCCCTCCTGCAGGGAATTCCCTGGATCATCCCAAAAACTCCCCCAGGAAACAACCCCAGCTCAGGGGACTTGCAGGGATGGGATGGGAAAGGGAAAAAGAGGGAAAAGGAGGAAAAAGGGAGAAGCCAGAGAGGGAAAAGGGGGGAAAGGAACCACAGGAATAGCAGGAAAAGAGAGAAAGGAGAAAAAAAAAACAAGGAAAAGGAGAACAAGGAAAGGAGAGGGAAAATCAGGGAAAGGAGAGAAAGGAAAATAAAGGAAAATAAAAGCAGGAAAAGCAGGAAAAGCAGGAAAAGCAGGAAAAGCAGGGAGAGGAGGCTCGGGGCAGCTGGGTGCTGAACTGGAAAGGGGAAAGGGGAGAGGGAAAGGAGGGAAAGGAGGAAGAAGAGGAAGAAGAGGAAGAAGAGGAAGAGGAGAGGAAGAGGAGAGGAAGAGGAGGCCCAGGACACCTGCAGGAACTCAGCTTGGTGCTGAACTGGAAATGGGAACAGGGAGAGGGAAAGCAGGGAAAGGGGGAAAGGAAAAGCAGGAAAAGGAGAGGAAAAGGATGAGAAGGAGAGGAAGAAGAGAAGGAGGAAGAGGAGGCAGAGGAGGCAGAGGAGGAGGCAGCTGAGGGCGCCTGCAGGAAGTGGGTCGTGTGCGGGGGCAGCCTGGTGCTGAACTGGAAATGGGAAAGGGGAGAGGGAAAGAGGGAAAGGAAAAGCAGGGAAAGGAGGAAGAGAACAGGAAGAAGAAGAGGAGAGGAAGAGGAGGAAGAGAAGAGGAAGAAGAGGAGGAGGAAGGTCAGGGCACCTGCAGGAAGCGGGCCGTGTGCGGGGGCAGCCTGGTGCTGAACTGGAAATGGGAGAGGGGAGAGGGAAAGGAAAAGCAGGAAAAGGAAAAGGAGGGAAAGGAGAGGAAGAGGAGGCAGAGGAGGAAGAGGAGGAGGCAGAGGAGAGAAAGAGGAGGAGGAAGAGGAGGAGGAGGAAGCTGCAGGAAGTGGGCCGTGTGCGGGGGCAGCCTGGTGCTGAACTGGAAATGGGAGAGGGGAGAGGGAAAGGAAAAGCAGGAAAAGGAAAAGGAGGGAAAGGAGAGGAAGAGGAGGCAGAGGAGGAAGAGGAGGAGGCAGAGGAGAGAAAGAGGAGGAGGAAGAGGAGGAGGAGGAAGCTGCAGGAAGTGGGCCGTGTGCGGGGGCAGCCTGGTGCTGAACTGGAAATGGGAGAGGGGAGAGGGAAAGGAAAAGCAGGAAAAGGAAAAGGAGGGAAAGGAGAGGAAGAGGAGGCAGAGGAGGAAGAGGAGGAGGCAGAGGAGAGAAAGAGGAGGAGGAAGAGGAGGAGGAGGAAGCTGCAGGAAGTGGGCCGTGTGCGGGGGCAGCCTGGTGCTGAACTGGAAATGGGAGAGGGGAGAGGGAAAGGAAAAGCAGGAAAAGGAAAAGGAGGGAAAGGAGAGGAAGAGGAGGCAGAGGAGGAAGAGGAGGAGGCAGAGGAGAGAAAGAGGAGGAGGAAGAGGAGGAGGAGGAAGCTGCAGGAAGTGGGCCGTGTGCGGGGGCAGCCTGGTGCTGAACTGGAAATGGGAGAGGGGAGAGGGAAAGGAAAAGCAGGAAAAGGAAAAGGAGGGAAAGGAGAGGAAGAGGAGGCAGAGGAGGAAGAGGAGGAGGAGAGGAGGAGGAAGAGGAGGAGGAAGAGGAGGAGGAGGAAGCTGCAGGAAGTGGGCCGTGTGCGGGGGCAGCCTGGTGCTGAACTGGAAATGGGAAAGGGGAGAGGGAAAGGAGGGAAAGGAGGAAGAGGAGGAAAAGGAGAGGAAGAAGAAGAGGAGGAAGAGGAGGAGGAAGGTGAGGGCACCTGCAGGAAGCGGGCCGTGTGCGGGGGCAGCCGCGTGCCCACGAACTGGAAATGGGGAAGGGGAGAGGGAAAGAGGAGGGGAAAATGGGAGAGAAAATGGGAATGGGGAACAGGAAAAATGGGAATGGAAAAATGGGAATGGGGAGAGAAAAATGAGAATGGGGAAATGGGAATGGGGAACAGGAAAAATGGGAATGGGGAAAAATGGGAATGGGGAAATGGGAATGGGGAAAATGGGAGAGAAAAATGGGGAAAAAATGGGAGAGAAAAATGGGAATGGGGAGAGAAAAATGGGAATGGGGAACAGGGAAAATGGGAATGGGAGAGAAAAATGGGGAAAAAATGGGAGACAAGAATGGGAAAAATGAGAAAATGGGAATGGGGAGAGGAAAATGGGAATGGGGAAGGGGGGAATGGGAGAGAAAGATGGCAATGGGAGAGAAAAACGAGAATGGGGAACAGGGGAAATGGCAATGGGGAAAATGGGAGAGAAAAAGGGGAAAATGATCCCCAAAAAGAGGAAAACCCCTAAAAGGGGGCGCTCCCCCCGAGGCAGGAGCCCAGGAGCCCAGGGGTACCTCTCAACCATGCGGTCGCGGTGCCGCTTCTTCTGGCGCTCCTGGGATTTCCTCCCGGCCGGCAGCTTCTGCCGCAGCTGGGACAGCTGGGACGGCTCCTCTGCAGTGCCCAGGCCGCCTGGGAACGGGAATGCCGGGAATGCCGGGAATGCCGGGAATGCCGGGGGTGTCCCAAAATCCAGCCCCAAATCCCGCGGAATCCAGCCCAAAATCCCAGGGAATCAGCCCAGAATCCCAGGGAATCAGCTCAAAATTCCAGGGAAACCAGCCCAGAATCCGAGGAAATCAGCCCAGAATTCCAGGGAATCCAGCAGCGGGCCGTGTGCGGGGGCAGCCGCGTGCCCACGAACTGGAAGTGCTCCCGGTGGAATTTGCTCTCCAGGTGCTGCCGGATCTCGTCCTCAAAGAACGTCCGGAACTTGCAGAGAGAGCACACGAACTGGATCCTGGGGAAAAATGGGGGAAATGGGGAAAAATGGGGAAAAATGGGGGAAATGGGGGAAAATGGGAGGGAAAAATGGGGAAAATGGGGGAAAAATGGGGGAAATGGGAGAGAAAAATGGGGGAAATGGGGGGAAATGGGGGAAAATGGGGAAAAATGGGGAAAAATGGGGAAAAATGGGGAAAATTCTGTGGGAAATGGGGAAAATGGGGAAAATCCATGGGAAATGGGGAAAATCTGTGGAAATGGGAAAATGGGAGAGAAAAATGGGGAAAATGGGGAAAAAATGGGGGAAAATGGGGGGGAATGGGGGAAAATGGGGATAAATGGGAGAGAAAAATTGGAAAAAATGGGAAAATGGGGGAAAAATGAGGGAAAATGGGGGAAATGGGGGAAAATGGGGAACATGGGATTGAAAAATGGGAATGGGGAACAGGGAAAATGGAAACGGGGAGAGAAAAATGGGGGAAAATGGGGGAAAATAGGGGAAAAATGGGGAAAATAGGGGAAAAATGGGAAAAAAGGGGATTTTCCCGGGAAATCCAGCCCAGAATTCCAGGAAATCCAGCCCAGAATTCCAGGGAATCCAGCCCAGAATTCCAGGGAATCCCTCAGGAAATCCAGCCCAGAATTCCAGGAATTCCAGCCCAGAATCCCAGGGAAACCAAAATCCAAGGAAATCCAAAATTCCAGGAAATCAGCCCAAAATTCCCAGGAAATCCAAAATCCAAGGGAATCCAGCCCAAAATCCCAGGAAATTCAGCCCAAAATCCCAGGGAATCCCCCAGGAAATCCAGCCCAGAATTCCAGGGAATCCAACTCAAAACCCCAGGAAATCCTGCCCAAAATCTCAGGAAATCCAAAGAATCAGCCCAAAATCTTCCAGGGAAATTCAACCGAAGATCCCAGGGAATTCAATCCAAATTCCAAGGAAATCAGCCCAAATTCCAAAGAAATCCAGCCCAAAATCCCAGGGAATCCCCCAGGAAATCCAGCCCAAAATCCAAGGAAATCCAACATAAAATCCAAGGAAATCCAAAATCCAAAGAATCAGCCCAAAATCTCAGGGAATTCAACCCAAAATCCCAGGAAATCCAACCCAAAATTCCAAGAAAATCCAACCCAAGGTCCAAGGAAATCCAAAACCCAAAGAATCAGCCCAAAATCCCAGGAAATCTGACCCAAATTCCAAGGAAATCCAGCCCAAAATCCCAGGAAAACCAAAATCCCAGGAAATCCAACTCAAAATCCTGCCCTGATCCCAAATTCCTGAAATTCCCTGCATTTTTCTCCCCAAATTCCTGAAATTCCCTGGACTTTTGTCCCCAAATTCCCTGGATTTTGGTCCCCAAATCCTTTAAATTCCCTGGATTTTGGTCCCCAAATTCCCAAAATTCCCTGGATTTACCTCCCCAAATTCCTGAAATTCCCTGGATTTTCCTCCCCAAATTCCCAACATTCCCTGGATTTTGGTCCTCAAATCCTTGAAATTCCCTGGATTTTCCTCCCCAGATTCCCTGGATTTTCCTCCCCAAATTCCTGAAATTCCCTGGATTTTCCTCCCCAAATTCCCTGGATTTCCCCTTTTCCCTCCACTCCTGGAAAACCCCAGGAAATTCCTGGAATTTCCCCCTGGAATTCCCAACTCACCTTTCTCGGAATCTCTTCCCTCTTCATCCTCCCCTTCCTGAAAAGCCAAAAATTCAGGAATTTTAAAGAAATCCTGGGAATTCTTCTCCCTCTGGAATTTCCCTTGGATTCGGGAATCCCAACATTTTGGGGGACTTTCCCAAGGGATGGAAATTCCCTGGAATTTTGGGAATTCCCACATTTCCTGGGGAAAATTCCACTCCCAGCCCTTCCCCCGACCAAAATCCTCCTGGAATTCCCCAAAAATCCCAGAATTTCCCTCCCAAGATCCCAAAATCCCAGAAATTCCCTCCCTTAAATCCCAAAATCCCAGAATTTCTCTTCCCCAAATCCCAAAATCCCAGAATTTCCCTCCCTTAAATCCCAAAATCCCAGAAATTCCCTCCCTTAAATCCCAAAATCCCAGAATTTCCCTCCCTTAAATCCCAAAATTCCAGAATTTCTCTCCCTCACATCCCAAAATCCCAGAATTTCCCTCCCTTAAATCCCAAAATCCCAGAAATTCCCTCCCTTAAATCCCAAAATCCCAGAATTTCCCTCCCTTAAATCCCAAAATCCCAGAAATTCCCTCCCTTAAATCCCAAAATTCCAGAATTTCCCTCCCTTAAATCCCAAAAT